CAAAAGCCGCTGAGAGGTCCAAAAGAACAAGGACAGAGGAATAGCCTCTGTCCCGGGCCCTCCAGAGATCATTAACCAACGCGACCAATGCCGTTTCCGTGCTGTGTCCCGGCCTGAAGCCCGACTGGTATGGGTCTAGATAGACTGCTTCATCCAGGTGCCGAGGGAATTGCCGTGCAACCACACTCTCAACAACCTTATACATCATAGATGATCATAAATACATCATAGATTATCATAAATACATCATAGATTATCATAAATACATCATAGATTTTGTGTGTTTTGCTTTTGCCTTAGGTTCTTGAAAGACAGGTGCTATAATTTTATTCACACACAAACACGTGTGTGTGTGTGTGTGTGTGTGTGTGTGTGTGTGTGTGTGTAATCACCTGTCTTTCAAGAACTTAAGGCACAATCAAAACACCCACAGTCTGGCTTACTTACTGTTAGAATTGGCTAGAATGACATACCAAGGGGAATGACCTCATCCTCTGTCCAATTAATGTTTTCCAGGAGCATCTTTTCTTCTTCAGGTGAAACCAATTCTTCAATTACTCTCAAACCAGGAGGCAAGGCTGGAGGGCTCATTTCTTCCCAAGGAACTAGAAACATTCAGGAAAACAACATTCCTGTTTAATTTTGGGTGGATTAAATAGTAATATCCAAAACAATTTTGGACCTACTAAAGATCTCTGGGAAACAAGATTGGTTTCCACTGCTGTGCTACACACAATATTCTCTGTTTGGGGCCCAAAGATGTCATTGATTTTGTGATCATTCTTTCAAAGCAAAGTTCATTACTTGGGGCATTTGTTTCAGATGAGAAATCAACTGCAATCAATGGTCTCTTTCAATTACTTATAACATTTGTTGATAACCTGTGGCTAACAGGCAACAAATACTGTAAAGTAATGCAAGTAGAAAGAAAAAAATATCCATACAGAGCAAAATTATAACATTACTTAAGCCTTAGGTGAGTCAAACTTGGAAGATTACAAGACCCATCATTCCTTGCCAGTGCCCATGCTGTAGGCATTGCAGTCCAACACATCTGCAGGAGAAAAGTTAAGAAAGCTGGCCAAAGTTAACTTTTATTACTTCACTGTTGATTGTGAAGAAGATCTATGATCTGCTTAGCAGAAAATCTCACGATAAAATGGCCCTTAGAAGTGTTCGTGTTGGCTTCATCAAGCTAATTTTTCAAAACTGATCAATGCCTCCCTGAGCTTCATGAGGTATGAACTAAGTTCATGAACAGTATGTTGAGAAAAACAGAGTAGAAAAGCAAGCTTCTTCAGTAATACCTTTTTCTACATAGTTGAAGTACAGAACAACCTTTTGGCTGGAGTTGTCTAATATTAGTTCCTTTCCATTGAGGGAGTCATAGGCCTGCTTGGAGTAAGCTGTCCTTTCATACTGCACAAATGAATAGGGTTTATTTGGAGGCATTAATAGGCTTTCTACTTGTCCACATTCTTCTACCAGAGAGTGCAACTGGAATCTGCCAACACCATTACCCAGACCTCCATTGGCAATAACCAGACTCTAATGAAGGAGAAAATAAGAGAGACACAGGTATGAATAATTAACACTGGTTAGTTCATCTGGAAACAGCATTCTGTAAATACAGTAATTAAAAATGGAAAAGAGACCACTGCCCCAGAACTTCTGTTTCATCAATTCTAAATATCTATATCAGTGGTGGCGAACCTATGGCACGGGTGCCAGAGGCAGCACTCGGAGCCCTCTCTGTGGGCACACGCACCGTCTCCCCAGCCCTGCCTCCTCCCACGGCCCCCTCCTCACCAGCAGCCCCCCCGGAAGAGAGTCACCCCTGGGCGTGGCCCACGCGAAGCAGCGCAGCCAAGGACATGGTAGCCAGGCAGCAGGGACAAGACTCTGCCCTTGCGCCCCATCGCGCGCAGATGATGCTGCGGGGCATGGGCAGAGGGCGTGGCCGCCATGGCGCTGCTGGGATGCCTGGGTGATCTGTGGCGGGCCGTGGAGGTGGTGGGTGGCCCAGTGGGCAGGACGGAGCAGGGACAGGGTGGAGGGGTGGTTTTGGGGCACTCAGTCTCTAAAAGGTTTGCCATCACTGATCTATATAAAATCTTCAGATTTGAAATAGTCTTGTATTACAATTAATATTCATGCACTCAATGAAATTTGTGCACATCTACGTAGACATCTTTTACGTTACTGGCCTTCTTTACACATAACATAATCACAGTATGGTTTATTGGTTTCTGGCTTCTAGATTTGTATCCCATTTTTCTTCAAGAGCTTAAGGCAGCATTTATAGCTGTTCTTCCTACAATTTTTCCCTCTACAACAGGGGTGTCAAACTGCCGGCCCACATGCTGGATGCGTCATGGCAAAACCACATCCACCCCATTGCCGGCAATGGAAAAAAAGTCACATTACATCACAACACATCATGTGATGTTGCAAGTTTGACACTCCTGCTCTACAACCCTAGAACACAGGTTTGACTGAGAGAGAATCACCTCAAATCAGCCCAAGTCAGCCAGTGGCCTCTGGTCCTAGTACAACAACATAACCACTACATCACACTGGTTCTCAGACAGTGACTTATTGATTCATGCAGATTCATATTTTCCAACTTAGTGTTCTATGCAAACAAGACTATCATCACTTGTTCAATTAAAAATGGCTTAGTTAAGATATGCATCAGTTTGAACCATCAGCTGGGATCACATATCAAAGTATAAGCTATAGTTTGTTGGATAAATCACAATAGGCTAGGGGGATAGACTTGATTACAGTGGTGATGGGTACTGAAAGACCTTAAGAATCAGACTGGAGAAATATAATTCTGGAGATCTACCATGCGTTTGATAAGAGTTTATACCAAGATAATGGCATATAAATAGTCAATTAAAACCATGCTCCAGACTTGGTTCATGCAACTTACTAAGAAGTAAAGTGATTTGTTGAGTTTTGGTTTAGGATGCTATACAAACCTAGCTAACTATGCTTTAATCCTATTTTGTGTAAAATCGTAAGCTATGCTTAATGCAATATGTGAATTCAACCAAAGAATACATACTCTCATAAAGAGTACAATTTCTAATCACCTTAGTAGGGTATGATACACACTCAATACCCTCATGCCTTAGTAAGGTGTATCTGGCCTTCATCTGTTTTTGTCGCAACTTTTTTTCTACTTTGCTTAGTTTTTTGTTCTGTAGAGTGATGTCATCTAGTTCCATACTGAAAGGAACAAGTAGGAAGTGCCAAAAAAGGGATTCCTAAAAAAAAGAAAGAAAGAAACAGTACAGAAAAAAACCAGAATTCCAATTATTTTTTTTACTGAAAACTCAACCATACTGTGAACACAGGTTATTTACCGGTACATATATTGTAATAACAGTTTTGATTTACAAGTGGCTAACTATTTTGGGATAAGAATAGCTCAAGGGCTACCTTTTTCTACTTGAAGCAGAATTTGTAGACATCAGAATTTACATATGATGGCCCCACTCAAGATAATAGATTATAGCCAAGACACCTAAACAATAAGAGATCCTTGGTGCTCTCTAAAATCCAAGGGCCCTCATTTCAACCCTGAACTATTCACCTTTATTGGTAATACCTAAACAATTCTGTAAGACCGAACAAATCAGGGATCTATCTGGAAAAATGAAGCAGGTTTGATCATGGCCAATTCTAAAAAGCCAAGTAGGGTTTTATCTGGTTAGCATTAGGATAGAAGACCCCTGGAAATCCTACAGTTATCTCCTAGGCTGGAAAATCGAAAAATCATCCCAGAACATAATGACGAACTGTTCCTGTATTGTTGTCAACAAAACAAAGTGGATTCTTCCCTGAAGTGACTAGAAATCAAAGCTGATTCAGAAATTTTACCTTTTTACAAGATTCAACACTGCTTAAGTTTTATATTTATAAAAATAATAGCATACTTTATAGGATTGTTATAAGGATTAATCTGCACATAAATATATTATAAATTAGTATTTAGTAAGGAATTTTACACCTTAGGATTTATTGAAACTGAATATATTCTGCAACAAATTATGTATGTATATAAAACATACAAAAAGATATGTTTATAAACAAAATCTATTAAAACTAAAATATTAGCTTTGAACACCTTTTTGCAGATGATGAAAATGCCAGTTCCTTGCTTTCTCCCTGATCACAAATTATAAAAGCTCAATAAATCATTCAAAGAATCAAATCTATTTAATTTATGCAATGTGTTCAGAATGCAAAATAAAAAAAATTATTATAAAAATAGTTAGGTTTGCTCCTTATATGCCATTCCTATTGTAAAACTGGTGTTTTATAATACTGGTGTTTTATAATACAGTATTATAATACAATATTATAAAACTGGTGTTTTATAATACAGTAAAATTGGTTGCTTACCTGTGAGAACTGAACATATAACTTCATACTAAACAAATGCATATATTGTTAGTTTCACACTAGGAAAATAACTTTTTTCTTCAAAGCATTTTAAAAGACTGTTTTTGTGTACCAGCAGATGGTGCAATGACACTATTTATCATTTCTAACCTAACCATTTTCAATTTCATTTCTGCACGTTTAGTTTCAAGACTAAAGATGATTAAACATACACACACCTCTGTAACTTTTCTTTTTTTTTTTTTTCAAAATTTTTTTTTATTGTTTTCAACATAAAAAAAGCACATCACAAATACATCACAATTGAAACCCCCCCCCACCCCCCACCCGGACTTCCCAAACCTAATCCCAGGATACTATTCAACTAAAAGTAACCTTGTATTAATATCCCTAACTCCACAAAGTGATATTCTACATAAGTAGGTGAAATATATATATATGTATAAAAAAAGAATTTTTTATCTAAAAACCTAACTTATATTCCACCATTCTATGTTTATTTTGAATATAAACAATCCATCTTCTCCATATTGATAAAAATTGTTCATTTGAGTGATCCTTCAAATAAGCCGAAATCTTTGCCATTTCAGCAAGAGCCTCTGTAACTTTTCTGTTAGCAACAGTTCAAGCTTTACTTGTTATACTTCACTATTATTTAATAAGTAAGGCAATTGTAGTTGAATAAACGGGTAATTTTCAGTGGAAAACGTAACTAGCATTTAGATTCTTATATAAAAACATAACACAAACATACAACATAACAGAAACAACTCAGTGCCCAGTATGTTCTTTCTTCTGTAGCAGGTCTGGAAAAGACTACTACACAGAATAGAACTATGAAGAGGCAATTGACAATTGGAGAGAACAAACAATTCAATATAAACACAGCCTTTTATTAACTTTTATCAGATTTTAAAAACTTATTTTCAAATGAGGTTAGAGCAAATACTGGTTATAAAATTTTGACTGATCCCTTTTCAGATAAGAACAATAAATACAGCTTGCTTCTTTGACATCTGGATCAAAGAATGTTATTTGTGTGTCAACAGGCATATTGAACAAAATATTTTAAATTTATAGTACACGTTGCTATGAATAGGCGCCTAAATAACACATTTTAATCAAAGAATGCCACTATTGAATTTCAGGATCTTTTTTTCCCCCGGGGAAAAGACCAATCTTTAGCTTTATATATATCATTAACACAATTTACAGTGAGGGAAAGAAATGGGAGACCTCTGCTATATTAACTAGATCTTCAGGGAAACATGATTAGGATTCAGGCTAGACTAGAGGAAATCGAGCAGCATATATTATTAAAAATACCCCGCTGAAATAATACCTGGCAACAAAGAGCCTTTCAGGACCTTTTCAGTCCTTTCTCTTCAAACATCATCATAGTTTTGATTTAGGCACCACCTAACTTCTCAATTACTCTGAACAGCAAAACAGTACACTGTGAATAAAGAAAGAAACAAGCTAAAGAAGAACAAACATGATAAACCCAGCCAATGTCAGAAAACATATAGAAACCAAGGGGCTCCATGGGATGTATTTGCATGCTTCCTCAACACGTGATTCGACGTTGTGTTGCAAGCATTCTATGACTGCTAATAAGGATTCTCAATTTTTGTGCCTTACCATGGCCATATAAAACCACATCTTTGTTTAAGGGTATTTAATAGGGAAAGAAAAGAAACTTTTTCCTCTAACTACTGTAAATAAATATGCTTAGCACAACTTTTGTAACAAGCACAGTACCGATAGACTCACTATTTCGTCTTAGATTATTTCTTCTCAGTCTTTCCGATCCAGTTGATTACAATTTTCAACCACACCAGATTAGATGAGCTAAGAAATTTGGACAGATATCTGGAGGAACTGCTTTGGCCAATATTTCTATTTCCAGTAACTGAAATACAACATGTATTGTGCAAAAGCTCCGATGCAATTACAGGCTTTTAGTCAGAGACAGAAATCTCCCTAAACTAAACTAAACTCTACCCCCTTACCCTGAAAAAAGTAACTTTTCTCAGTTATTTTTAAAATATTCAAGAGGGAGCACAGCAGATAAGGATCCCCTTACCTAGCAGAAGGCAGCCATGTTGGAGGGCAGAACTGCAATTCCCATGAACCTCGTTGCCTACATTTCCCATCATGCTTATGAACGCCCAGCTATTTAACCCCTTAGTAGAAGTCTCCTGAAGCTTATATTGTACAATACTCATTGAATACCCTGGTTTTAAAACGTACTAATGCTGGATTTTTTTTCAATGGACTTACAGGTAAAAATTTTAATAGAGAAAAATAAGATATTGTCCTTCCTTAACTTCTCCCGTATATCAGTTTCTAAGTTGCTATCAAATATTGATTTTAATTGAATATGTGTCATCAAGTCATTTTCAGCTCAGCAACTACATAGGTAAATTTTCTCCATGACGATTTATCCCTAACCTGGCCTTTCAGATCTTCCAGTAGTGCACATCCCTATTTGCTGCTGGTCATCTCTTCTTCCATCTTTCCCAGTATTAGAGCCTTTTCCAAAAAACTAGATCTTAGCATAAAGTATCCAAAATAAGATAATTTGAGCCTGATAATTTGTGCATCAAATAAGAACATTGCATTTATTTATTTGATGCTCTACTGCTTTGTTTTCTTAACTGTCCACAGGATGATTGGATGGATGGAAATACACTTTTGCTTAAGTTTAAAACTTAATGTACAATTTGTTATTTCCTCCAGGAGTTCAAGGCAACTTACACAAAAATCTCCTTCTTTTCAACCTGCAATAAGCCTTTAAGGCAGGGTCTCCATGCTAACTGGGGAATTCTGGGAATTGAAATCCACAAGTCTTAAAATTGCTGAGGTTGGAGACCCCTGCTTTAAGGTTCATTGGCCTAAAAGACAAAGTCACCAGGTACCCAGAGCTGAAGTTGAATTTGAACCAGAATCTCCTCGGAAATAGCTGAGTATTTTATTAATTACACCATAATGCAAGGAAATTCCTATAAACTCAATGGTTTGTATATGTCTTTAAAGTTAGTGAATGGCTAGCAACAGTAAATAAAATTTGCATTAAAAAAATTAATACAAGCCCTTAGGCCTATCTTTGCATTCTATTTAAGCACTTGGAATTAGCATCAATGAAAGTTACAGCCAGCGCTTACATCGTTGTGGTTGCCCTCATATGTAGGGCCTCATATGTAGGGAAAAAGCCCCAAGTAAAATATTGAATATTCTAATTAATCCTTTATATCAAATGGGCAGAACCCATTTCATTTACTGAACCATTGCTTCTCTTGGCTGAACTGCAAATTTTTAATATACAGTAATTAAATCACGATTTTCTAGTGTGACATCATTAAGGACACGACAATTGAATTAATAATATACCTAAAGCATTGCCCCTTTTAAAAAATATCATGAACTTGAAATTCAAAAGCTATTTAACCAAATCTATCAAATCTGGGCTGTAAAAATCCATACGATAAAAATAGAGCATTTTTGCATATCTCTACTACCTCTATTGCTCATCTTATTTTTTTCCAGCTCATATCTAGTAACCATAATTAAACACTGCCAACCTCTTGCCTATTTGGAGCAATAAAACCATTAACACACTAGATACCACATCCCACATCGTACCCAAATTGTGGTTGTTGCTACTGAACAAAGTTTATCTCCAATTAAAATTGTAAGCACAAATTTGGAAGGGACTGATTAGGTCCCTGAGTCCAACTCAGTATAGGAGCCCTAATGAAAGCATCCCTTAAAACAGAGGTCCCCAACCTTTTGGGCACCAGGGTCCAGTTATATGGAGAGAGGTTTTTCGGCGGACTGGAGGGAGCATGGTTTT